GCATAAACTTTAAAGTTTAAAGCACACAATGTCGGATGTTATCATTATCCTCTAGCATCGACCTCCTATCGAATCCTAATCCTGAGTACATGAAACAGAAATAAACAAATCCACAGTCATAATTCTAAAGAAAAATATATGTGTAGAAAAAATTTTCTTTCGGCACATTATAATTCAATCGAACACTAACAAATTATACCAAATTACTATTTAATAAGTTCTGTAAGATTTTTTTCTGTATTAACATATTTGTTGATGTTGACAAAGAAATTGTTATGACATTTGTTATAGCAACGCATGCATAAATATCATAGTTGGTAATGTAAACAGTTACAATATCATAAAAATGTCTTACAATAGACAAATTTAAGACGTCTAAAATACTCGTTTGGTAACATCTTAAAGATGTTAAGAAATGTAATGTTCGGAAATAAGACGTTTTTAAGACATCTTATTACATAAGATGTCTTAAATAAGGTGTTTTAAAGTTATCTATAAGACGTGTTTTGGTAACTTTTTAAGATGTCTTTAAAACATCTTTAAGACATGCATGTTGTCTGGATGTAGAGAGATTCTTTATTAGCGCTAAATTCAACATTGGTCTTATGTTGTTCAGGTTTATAGAATATTTCTATGCTATCTGAAACATTTATGTCACTTTAACATTAAATCAGTTTCTACTGACTTCAATAACTTTATCTCTAAAGAGACTAAGCAAAGCTTCTTTGCATATACGTTCTCTGCAGTATTAATATTTCATTAAAAGATGAAAAATAAGTAGAAATATCGAAGAGAGAGAGGGAAAGAAAGAGAGAATAAAGTCATTTCATATGCACGACACTATAATGTTTATTTTATTTCAAATTGAACAAAGTAGAACATCACAAGAAATTCTCGTTAACTATCAATTTGCACGCTTTTCTACGAAAAAGAAGTTCTACACATTCTCTACCGACCATAAATCTCAAAACATGTGAAGAACTTACGTTGCTGAACGATATGGAGAGTCAAAAATCGCTCGGTATTGCGCATTCACGATATTTACGCAATCGCAACACCGGATATATAATCGCGAATTCATCGACCGGTCACTCCTATGGCCTCTTATTTTCGTTTCTTTTTTTTCTTTTTTTCGATACCTACCTTGTATCGAGAGACGCGACCTGTGTATGTGTGTGTGTGAGGGTTACGAAACACTTTCTCCCTGTATGATGGATATTTTAAGTATGCAGGCTGCACCACTTCCTGTATCACTGTGACGGGCCCGCCGGACCACGACCGTCAAAAAAGAAAAAATCTAAAATGAACGTAATTGTATCAAAGTATGCAACGTGCAGCAATCTCGACCATTACCTTGGTCTTAACACTGAGCCATTTGTTTAGAGAACGTCGTAACCGATCAGAAAGCAAGAGAACCGGCGAGAGCACAGCGATAATCTCATATGCAATCGGTTTACCTAATAATATGTCGCCAAAAATTATATACCGTGGAGCGTGACATGTCTATCGACAGTTTTATAATGATTAAATAGAATAAAACATGCATTTCTTGCACATCACGAATTACTGACATATTTAATCATTACTTAACGAAATATAACTGTATAAAGAATCTTCTGTATAAAAAACTAATTAATGAAAAAAATATTATAATTCCAAAGTCATAAATGATGATTTACAGATACTTTTTAGCGACGCGACACGAATGTTTCTCACAAAATTGCGAAAATATTTGTATATTTCACTGTTGTCTTTAGAGAAGTTGTAAGGAGAATGAAAAAAAAGATATTAAAAATAACATGAAATTTGAAACATAGAGTTTAAAATGTACATTTTATATTTTGACAAATAATACTTTTTATGTGAATTTTTTTAGATTCTTTTACTAGTCTATTCTTATATTCTTATATTAATATCACAATTTTAGATTTTGTAATAGATTTTTATAGGAGAATCGATTCTGCACATCCATTTTTATAAAAAATGAATATTTGACTTATGTCGGAAAGCAAATAAATTGATGTGTATGTAATATATATTAAACATATCATATTGAAATATTGTATATAAATTTCACAATCACTGAATACTTCTTCAAGTAAAAATGTAACTAGCCGGTTTAATTCTAAAGCTAATATTTTTTTAACTAGTACAGATTAAATAAAATTTTTAGTTCGTTACTAATTCATTACTGGTTGATTGTTTATTGAAATGTAAAACCGGATCTCTATTACAGGACCAATATTTCCGGCCTCGATTTCTCGCGGTCAGTCAATCAGCAAGTGAGACGCTGCTTGCGCTTCTCTGATTATTTAGGACTCTAGTACAAATATATAATTTAGTTATTACATCACCACTAGTATTTTATAATTAAATGGCATATTAAAATTGAAATAAGTTGATTTCATAAAAATCTCAAAAAAACAGAATTGAGTGTTACATTACTGGCTAACTATTTATAGTTCTTCATCTATAATCATAACTGTAATTTCTTTTGTTTACTCATCAATTAACTTATTTATCTAGCCACCAGGAAAAGTAAACGTTACATTACTAGTAGACACAAATTTATTATCTTATAATTTGACACTGAGATTGAAATTAACTCTACTTGTTTTGAAAATACAGCGATAGAAAATAATTCATAATCTATAATAATAGCCAAAATACATATAAACACATTTAAACATTTATATACCTCCTTCTATTACATTCCTACAAAGAACATAAAAGAGAAAATTTTATAGTAAAAATTACTTTAAAATTTTGTAACCGAGAGGAATAGTTTGATATTCTGCCGTAATTTTATACACAAGTAACTATCTTAAAAATAATTATCCTTTCATATATATATATATATATATATATATATATATATATATATATATATAATATGTTCTATTTATATTTTAGAAAATAAAATATATTATTAAAAAACTTGCTATATTTTTCACAAAATTTACTATGATCCCTAAGAAGATATTAAATGTATATATCTTACTGACAGTTTATTTCTGCATTTTTAATAGAAACATAATAGTAAGATTTTAAAAAATTTATACAAAAAAACTATATTTCCTGCATGTATTAGATCAACTGATGTAAAAATGAAGCATTAATAACAAAAATAATATTTTTATATTTGTAATATTTTGTACACACATGTACTTATTTTTAACTTTGTTTCAAATTAATATTTATCGCTGGGATAAAATAAATATTTGTGTATAATAATATTATTTTTATTTACTAAATAGAGTCTAAATAAGAACCGTATACTTGATATTGTGATGTTATTTATTGAAATTGAACAAAATACTTGAAGAATTTATTAAAAAAGAAATTAAAAATTAATTGTTTGTGTGTTTAAGTTTTTTGTTCAATTTTAATAAATAACGTCACAATAACATCTAATGCACGGCTCTTACAAACCTTATTCAGTAAGCAATTTTTAATATCAGCTTTTCTAATATATTTTATACTTTTTAACATAATTTTGTTCGATAAATAGTACATTTATGAGTACTATCTGGAAATATGATGCTACTGAAAATAAATCACTTAACGATACGGCCACGTTAATATCTACTTATTGTCAGACGCGTTAATTAACATAATGCACGTAAAATGCAGTTCAACGAAACGGAAGGAAGTGCGAATCTACTGTTACGAGAAAATCCATCATCATGTGTAATTAGGCGCGCACAGTGCACCATTTATTACGTATTAAGCAAATAAGAATGTTTATCGTACTCGCGAACTTTCGCTGGTCTTATGTCGGCCAGTGTTTATGGTACGATTAGAGACAACCAATTACAGTAAATTTTCCGGAAAGTTCCGGGCACGTATTTGGGAAATTATGCGTTATATCATCTATAACTACGATTATGTAGCTTTGTCACATTCGAGACAAATGGACCTTGCATTTTATAGATCTTTCTGACCTTTCTCATCGAAATCAAACGAGAATCATAGTTTCTCTCCGAGAATCGTCTCGGCATCGTTTTGGCAACACCGAGTGAAATCTACATTAATGTAAATGCGCTGAATCTCGTATATCAAGACACGTGTATAACGTCACCTTCCAGATATATCTGTAGAAGATATACAGCCGTGCATCTCATTTCCGAGATGAGACGACGACCTGGGAAGTAGTCAATCTTTGTAGATAAGATTGTTAAGAGAAACATAACTGAATAATATATTTCCAGAATATTCCGCACATATACATGAATACAAATAGTTCCGGTCAACGGCAACTGTTGCTATGTTAATGTGGTTAATTTCTCGTCGTACTAATTGCGCATTAACATAGAAATGGACGTCTTATATGTTCTGTTTTTGCGTGATGTAACGCGAATCTAGTCATTTTTATACGACATAAATGTGTATAATTCACCATTTAACGATGAAATTTGTTTTTCGAATTTACGCCGCGCACTCTCACTGGTCACATATTCGCGGAAGCATTTCTCCCCTATCTCCGTTTTACCGTCGATTAAATTGGAGAAATGATGCACATGAATTCGAGATAATCACTTGATGACATATGTACTTATCGGAAAAGTCAGATAAACAATTTCGTCGTTGTCGCGACGTCAACGAAACAATAACGTCGTGAATTTCTTTTCTTATTCTCGTTTCTCTTCAAATCGCTGCAAGACTCAGGCCGTATCAAGCATAGAAAAAAAGAAATTGCTCGAATTACATCGCGTGTTACGTACGAAAACGATCATCTTCGCGCAAAAACCGATCGCATACAGACTCGTGTGCAGGCATGCACTCACGCACATACGTGTGTACGTGCCGCAGCACACTGAAAGCTCACTAACTCAGTCACTCCGTACGCACATCGGAGAGTTACGCATATGCATTCACGAAACGAACGTAACACGAGCCTTGCGTTTCCTTACTTTTACGTAACACGTGATCTCGAGCCACTTTGCTCTCCCACCCTGTGCAATTTCACCGGGTGGTTTTGGTCATCGCCGTGTCTGTCCTTTATAAGCGGACATCCCCGACGGTCAAACACAGACACCGTATCGACGTTCACAAACGCACAGCACGGTCGCACCGTTATCGTCGCGCATTTTTGCGAGAAGTAACTTGTCTAATCTCGAGACAGGCCGAGTTGAAGATGCGCTCCCACATCGTAGCCGTGAGTGTATTATAATGTATATGTATATATTTTTATCATTTCGCTGCATTCACAGAATCTCAACCAAGTTCCTCGTTCGTTTTGTGGCCAACAGTGTTTTCTCAATAACGCGGAGTATACGCAAATTATATGAAACCACACAAGTGCGAAATGTGCGCGAATTTTGTGAATACAAAATGAGCTATTATCGATTTTGTGAATACAAAATGAGCTATTATAGACTCTTGAGATTTTCACCCAAATTTCTTGGTTGTTTAAAGCAAACATTGCGATAAAAAAGAAGAACGCTGTATATTAAAGGTACTCACATAAATAATCAATTTCCAAGGTTTTTATTAATCAACTTTAAAAAAAATTTTGTGTAATCCTTATAACTCGAGAGCCGTTAGAGATTTTAAAATAAATCTTTTTATAACTTGTCTAATATCTTATATACACTGGAAAAAAATATTTGAAAATTCATTTTGTGGGATGTTAAGTTTATTTCTGTGAAGTAAACTTTATTTTTTAAGTAAACTTTATTTATTGTAAATTAATTTTTTAATTTTTTTCTCAGTGTACATAGTTCTTAGGTAAATATCATTTGTTCAGGTAATCTGGAAATTGAGAAATTTCATTATTTTTTTGAAAATACAAGAATATCTATAAATATAAGATAAAACTTTTATTTTCAACTAACTTCAGAAAATCTTTCTTGACTGACTTAAAAAAATTTAGTAAATAATTAAAAAATACGAAATAAAAAACATCTAACAAAAATAAACTTTACAAAAACCCTAAAGGTATAAAATAATTTTGACTCTAAATACACAATTTTATCCTAATATTCTATCGATATTAGAATTCGGTGCGAGAAAACAAATTAAGTATGTAATTAACTATACAACTATAGGGAAATAAAAAATAAAAATATATGATTATAGACTCTAAATCAGTCAAATTTGCGATCGATTTTTAATATTATTAAAATATTATAATAGGATTACGGATATATAGAAATATATCGAGTCGCAATTACTTCAAATTTTTTAAGACTATTGAGGTTTTTTCTTATTAGTTTCTATTCGAACCGTGTAATATGTAAAGAACATTTTAATATGCTATTTTATAAGAAATTCAACTTATTAGATCATAGATTAATAAATAAAAATATTGTCTATATTTTAACAAAAAACATTATATAAAAAGTTATATAAAAAATTATAAACATAATTTTATATATTACAATATATAATTCATATATAAATTTTCCTCTATATACACATACACACATACACGCGCGCACGCACACACACACACATACACACACACCCACACACACATATAAAATCATATAATTAATCATGTAATTATATATATCTACACGGAAAAAAATGTTGAATAAAAAATAAAAAATAGTTTTATTTAATTAAACGTCGACTTCACAAACTTTCACACACAAACAGTTACTTTAATTATATTTATATAATAGTATTTTTTGGTATAGACATATAATTATGTGATTATATATTATCAAAATTTATAAAAACAAAATTTATATATAATTATACATAATCATTTTTTTTTGTAAATTTTTAGATGTGTTTTATTTTAAGATTACTCTCTTATAAATACTTATGATATATTTTAAAACATGAAATATCTATTATGTATCTTCGTCTATTAACATTGACCATTAAATTAAAACTACAAGTCCATTGATCATTAATTAAACAAAATTATAGTTTTAAAATACACCGCAACGCAGTAGAACAAATAATAATGATAATAGTAACAAGTAGTGACAAATAGTAATTATAGAATTATATATAACGGCTTGACGTTATATATAATTCTATAATTACAAATAATTTTTGAATATTATTAACTGTAGTTTGTCATGTGACATTAAAATCTTTAGGAGAAAGAAAAGCTTGATTTTACTAAACGAATCTTGAATTTAAATAGCTGAGAGCGGTCGTCTCTTGAATTAAAAGTACAAAGCTTTAACGTCGCCGCTTTACAATCGCGCGAAAGAGTCAGTAAAAATAGTGAAGCATGAATGAAAAAGAGACACGATGCATTTAAATGAGCTCGCAGTGATACGAATGCACTTTCGATATCACAACCGCAATTCTCCATCTCATGTTGCAGTTACTCGTGTTCGGAATAATGGTCGTGGCTTTGGCGTCGCCGTTACCAGGCTACAGTCAGTAAGTAATATTACACAAATAGTATAGTAGTTACACCAGTAAGTAGTATTGATCAAACAAAGGCTCACTCGATCGTGATACTTTTCTCTTTGCTGAATTTCGGGACAGACAAAAATCACCAAATCACTTTCACCATCATCGTTTCCATCTGTTCGAAAACTCGCTAAAACGAAAAGTCGCAAATTTTTTTATAGTGAACATCAAGTGTATCGTCAATACCAAAAAATTAAGAATTAAATACGACATCACGTGGAAAACAACTATATGATTTCAGTAAACACTATACCATCCACGTACCTTATCATGTGCACACGGTCCATCATCATCACGTGAAAAAAATACACGTACCGGTACACCACGTCGAAAAAGTAGCCGTCCCAGTTCCGGTTCCGGTGCATCACGTTGAGAAAGTTCATGTTCCGTTCCCTGTACACCACGTAGAGAAGGTGCATGTGCCTGTTCCGGTCGTGGAAAAAGTTCCGGTACCCATCCCCGTACATGAAGAGAAGGGTGGTTGGTGGTAGAGAAAACGCGTTGTCTTTGGTTTACATCGTTTTAGGTCTGTACTTTCATTTATTCATTTATCACTCGAACGGGCTTGTAATTCATTTATTAAAAACAAAACGAAAGATATTTTTTGCATTTAGTATTGAAATTTTTATGGTACGATTTTTCATAGATTAAATTACTTTTTTTATTAATATTTCTCACACATACAATTTTAATATTATATAATTCTATTCTTTTATATTTCATAATTCTGTTATAACATTATAAAATATATAGATTTTTTTATTATTATTAAATTATTATTATTTATTAAAGATAAAATGAGAGATTTTTAAATTTTTAATATTTAAAATTTTACACATTTATATATATATATATAATAAGTTAAGTAATTTTTTTATTAAAATATTTCCCGAATTTTTTTAATATTATTAATTTTTAACATTATTAATTGTATTATAATGTTATAAAATCTAAATTTATTTATTGTGTATTTAATGTATATTCAACGTGAACGATTTTCAGATTATCATAGCGGAATGCGAGTAAACTGAAATTAAACAAATTCATTTTCTATTGCGGGATCATTGGTAGGAAGCAGTTTTCTCATCGAATATGGAAGTGATAAAATTAAAAAGTACAAAATTGCTCGAGCCGCCTATTAAATGTTTAAAAATTTACTATAAGTACCAAATACTATGTATGCACGCGTGTGTACTTAGAACAAAGATACCTGTACATATATTTTCTCACGTTATTGTCATTATTTTTATACAATAAACTTTTGATAAAATATCTATGATTATCCATTTTCTTTCTCTGTATTGAACAATCGCATTTAAAAAGTTTCCATGTTTCAGAAATCTCGTATTCATTATTAATGTGCATGTTTGTGCATCTCATCATTTTAATTAATCGTTCATACGTCATGTATGTTACTATTTTCTCTGCAATTCTTACTGTTTAAGAGAATTTCTTACTCTTTTGTACCGTTAGAGATCGCAAAAAGTATTGTGTGGTATTTATAATTATTTAATATAAATAGTTATAAATAGTTATAAATAGGTATAAATAGATATATACAGTTATTTAGTCTATAAATACGCTTTATATTTTATACGTTTAACAGTGAGAAACAATAACATGTTGCCGTCAGGACATTGTTAACTGACATAATCAGAAACCTCTACTTCGTCATTAACTACGAAAAAGTAACGTCATTAACTAGCGAAACGACATAATTTACCAACTGTCGTGTTCGTGGTGCTCGTGATGATCGTCCGACTTGACTGGTATGTAAATCTTCTTTACATGTGTGTGATGATGCTTGTGAATGTGATGTGGAACGTGAATGATGAAGTGCGTACTAAAAACAAATTTACTCTTTGAACATATTCTGTTTCGAATATCAAACTATACTACACAGAAATAAAGTAAATTAAAAAGATAGTAATTCTTAACAAAAAAATAAAAATTACTGTTCGTGGTGACCGCCGGGATGCGGCATCGCTGATATTAATGTCACTGTAACGATCAGAAACAGCAGAAGCTAAAACAGAAAAAAAGAAACCTTAAAGTTAAACTTTTTAAAAAATGTTAAACTAAAAGATGTTAACCTAAAAAAAGATGTTAAAATTGTCCTTGTCTATCTGTTTTGTTGTACAGCAAAAAGCGAATATGTCTACGATTTAATTTTTGATCGCATTAAGAACAAGTGCATTAATGAACTTGGTTTAGCACAGTAACGATTAGAGAAAGCGTGAATGCTATGATCATATCTCAGTTTTGCTGAGAAATCGGAATGGTAAAGTGGAAGTAATAGTGGTCGAAGTCGTACATATCGTAAAATTATAGTTATCAACTGAAATTTCAATGCCAAAAAAGCTTCTCATCATTTTTCATGGCAACTTGCCTTTATTTATCGAATTACTCTAATAATACGTCTTTAACACTTGAACTATCGACGATTTCCGACCTATTTCTATTTGAATAATTAAAATGACAAAGTTGTGTAAAAAGATACATAATATAAGGAAAAAATGTTTATTTCCTTTTTCTTAGTTTACTCGACATCAATTAAAAATATAAAATGTACCGTTATAAATTTGAATAATTTTTTTAATAAATTGCAGGCCCGTCATCTTGATTATCTCTAGTAGCTCTAGTGTTAAAATATGATCGGATTTGATTACAAAAAGGTACTTCGTAAATAATTAAAAAATGCCCATGTTGAACCGCAATGCAGCAACTACCTCACCCAATTAATATGTTCCGCGCTGCGTCAATAATATATACGTGATTTTTTACTCATAGAGAGAGAGAGAGAGAGAGAGAGAGAGAGAGAGAGAGAGAGAGAGAGAGTATATAAATTAGAAAAAAACATTCTAAATTCTGATATATTGCATATATTGTCAAAATAGAAAAGTACATTTTACGTTCTACAATGCGCTTTACATGGAGAAAATATTGTAGTAAAATTAAAATTATATTTCTTTTTACAATGTTTTGCAAGTTGAAATGATATGATATAAATTACTATAGAAATAATAAATTTAACGATCTATCTGTATATGTAAATGTGTAGTGATATACGATTTAAACACATCCAACTACAATACAATTATAATAATTTTGTAATAAAAGATTAAACGTGCAGGTTTAATATTAGATTTTATTTACTCAATTGGAATAATATTACTAACAATCTTTCTAGCAATTTTTAATAATCTTATTTCTATAGATTCCTAAATTTCTAACAATTTTAAACAAATATAATTTAACATTTTTAAACAAACGTATTGAAAAATTGCTACTCATCTAAATAATTTATTTTATTTAAAAAAAATATATAGGGTGAACCAAAACTTCCAAAATCCTTGGAATATTTCGAAAAAAATGACTTTCATATAAAAAATATATAGAGTGTCAGATAAAAACTGTATTAGTTGTAGAGTTTAAAAATTTACTGATCTTATCAGTTTGACCTTGATCAGTTTGTGACCAAGAACAGACCAAGGTCAAATTTTTTTTAAATAGAACCTTCTATTGTTTTTATATATTCTTACAGCCCTTCTTTCCAAATATATATATATATATATATATATATATATATATATATATTTCCAAAACATTATAATTTTATCTACTTAGGTCAACTGTTTTCATATACACATAATTCTAGTAAGTACTTCTAGAAATAAATACTGTTACTGTGTGAGTAAATACTTATTATAAGTCATCAAAATATATTTAAATTAATAAAAATATTGTTTGATTTAAAAAGGTAAAAAATAAGTAATCCCGTTATTTCTGATTCTAGCGTGATTTCTTTTTTCTATGTATGTAGTAAATGATCATATATGTAGTAATTTGATCATAAATCTTTATGGTCCAAGATTATAAAAATTTTGTTGTAATTTTGACTACAATATGTTTTTCTTGCATACATTATCCTCTCTTCCTTTTGATAAAAATGATATTTTTTATAACTTTACAGATTTTATAGAATACCTCATAACCTTTATACTTTATAGAACTTTAAACTTTTATAGAACATTTCATATATAAATATACATAAAAGCTTTCTAAACAAATATCAATTAGGTAACGGTGTATCAGTAATACACTCAGCGCAGAACGTATCCAAGGAACGATCGTCACCGAATAAATTCACACTCAGACTTAACACCCACGTGCGTTCCGGACTTGACCATGATAGCGCTGTGCATGCGCGCGAAATGTGCGTCCGATTGTTTCCAACCTGCGATCGTGCGAGGACTAAGACTAAGAGATTTATTCTCGATCTGCTTTATAAACGGAAACATAATCAGAGTGAACGGTATACTAAAAACAGTTCCTGGGCGCACAATTTGCCCCACCTGAGAAATCACTCTCTCTGGAACAGTTACACGAAACCTCACGTGCAGTCTCGCGTGCGCGAGCATTGTCATAAGCGTGATTTTCGCGGTCCTTCCTGTCGCAACTTGAATGTTCACGCTTCGATGCTCGGTGGTAAGTAACGCTAGTGCCTTTCTCGCGTGAGATCTCCTTCTACGGATTATTCGGTTCAGAAGTGTCGAAACATGCACAAGAAAAAGTAAAGCCGGAAGCTCAGCGGAATTTCTCCCGCAAGGGAAATCGGCGTATTATCCTCTAAATAAACGATGCGAATAGCGAAGCTGATTTTCCTCCCGCCGATGTAAGTAGCGTGAGAATAGGAAGTAATAATAGAAAGTAAGGAAGATTGCAATAAAAACGTGAGAAATGATATATTATTTTATCTTTAATTATATTTATATAATATCTTAGCGAATAAATAAATCGTTTTTACATTTGAGTGAAAATGATTTATAGCAACAATTTATGAACCGCACGAGTACGTTATTTGACGAAAAAAGCGGTTCTGAGAGCCGCAATTTTCTTATTCGTTACAATTTTGTCGAAATATCTGTTGTAACGCTTGCCATTGCCACGGATTGGACGCATCACGTTCGAACGATCGGTCCTCGACTATGCTTACGTAAGAAGTTATGCGTGCAAAACTTCATAGATATAATCGATCAAGGATATTACGTTGTATGTCCTTATATAGCTTACTTTGCAACACGATTTTACGTAAAGTTAATAAGTTTATATAAGGAGTGTTAATATATAATTATATAGCATCGTTAAGTTGGAAATAATATAATGTTTATTCATAAATGATCATACGGGGAAAATTCGATGATTTTATTTCAGTACTTTTGCAGGTATAATGACTATAAAACTTGATTTGTATTTAAAAACAATATGATTCTATTTAAAAAATTAGAATTAATTTTGATAAAGTCAAATTAATTTTAATGTTAGAAATATATTACTATTTTTTTCTCTTGATATCTTACAGTTTTTGTTGGAAACATTTTTTTTAAATGTATTGTTTCCAAGATATTACGATGTCTAAGTTAAAATGGGATACCCTGTGTGTGTGTGTGTGTGTATATATATATACATATACATATATATATATATATATGTATATATATATATATACATATAAATACATACATATATATGTATATATATATATATATATATATATATATA